ATCTCTTACTAAATCAGGCCTGTGACATCTGGCTCTTCCCTAAAGTCACAATGACCATAAAAGGCAGATGTTTTGAATCAGTTCAAGACGTAGAGGCAGCCACAACAGTACAACTGAAAACACTCATGAAAGAGAACTTCCAGAACTGCTTCAGAAAATGGCAAGAATGAGGGGATAAATGCGTTAAAAGGAAGGAAGGTATTTTGAAGGGGTTTAATGGTAAAGCGTCTCTTACTGTATTTAAAATTTTTAAACATTCACTATATTTTTTATTTTGTTTTAACATTAAAGAGGCTAAAACCAAGCAAAATAAAACAATAAAACTAATCAAAACAACAACGTTATAAAATCAACCACAGTTACCACTCTAATGCCTCCTGCTCTCTTCAAAATGGCTTCAGATACCTTCAGACATAGTAAAAATCAAACAGAACAGAATAGAACCAATAAATACAAAACAATGAATGCAATAAATGACTTCAAAACAAGACAACAGGAAATCAACAATGCTACCATAAGAGATCTTGCTATCTTTGAAATCGCAACCCTTGCCATCAGATATAATAAAATCAAACAAAAGAGAATACAACCCATCCCAACAAAATAATGAAAATGATACAGAACTTCAAAAAAGACAATAGGGAATGAGCAATGGCTGCAACCCTCAGAAGGAGATCCCCCACAGATACCATACTGTGTACCATCATCCTCTGAATAGATGATCAGACCACCATCCCCTAGACCTGCAAAGTCAGTGAAACACCAAAACACCACAAGTATCAAACTGCATTTCACCTCAATAGCTATCATTACAGTCTGTGTTTTCTCCCGGATGAGATGGGATTGGGGGGTGGGAGGGTACAAGGGGGGTTGGTTTGGCTCCTTTTCCAGCCTGTGTGCCCTGAGAGGCTGCAGTCTGGCTGTCCCCTCGCTGCTGGTGGCCGGCACATGGCACTGGTTCTCAGAGAGGACTTGCTTCTTGGTGAATCCTTGTTATCTTCCCCTGCAGTCTGCAAATCGCGATGACTCATGGGGAAAGGCTGGGGTCTGGCTGTCCCCCTTCTGCTGGCAGCCCCCACATGGCGCTGGTTCACCACTTCACTGTATTTTTATCACACCTCATATATAAAAGTTTATTCTTGACCTCTGGGAGCAGATTAAACAGACACAGTTAGGCTGCTGTCTACAGTCCTGGGGCCAGAACATGAAGTCTGCACATCAGCTGTGGGGGAAAGAAGAGGGACTTACAGTGAGGGAGAGAACAGCAGCCAAAGGAACCACCTGACATCCAACGGGACAGACGGAACTCACGCTGGTTTTTCTTGCCTCTGACCTTGACAAAACGGCTCAGAACTTTTGTTTTGTTTACTTGTTTAATTATAAATTTTATTTCTTTAGTGGCTTTCTTGTTTCTTGTATCAGTTGTGCTGTTATATTTTTGAGGCGAATCAACTGTTATAAGATTGTTCATAAATTCTTATTTACTTTATAGTGGTTTAGAAGATCTGTAGTTATTTTTGCTTTTTCATCCTACTGTTGGTCAGTTTTACCATCTCACTTTCCTCTTCTTTTGATCTATGTTACCAGAGTTTTCAATTTTATTGGTTTACAAACTTCTGGTTTTATTCTTTAATCTAGCATAATTGCTTGTTTTTCATTTTATTAATGTCTGCTCTTATCTCTGTTTCCTTTATTCTACTCTTTTAAGTTTAATTTTCTGTTCCTTTTTAAGTTTCTACTGATGAATACAGAGGAACCTGATTTTCAGCCTTTTTTTTTTCCTAGTCTATGCACTTAAAACTACATAGTTGCCTTGAAACACAAAACTGTGTCCTATGATTTTTAATATTCGTTTTATTACCACATATTCAAAGTATTTCCTAATTTATATTTTGATCTCTTGTTTAACCCATGGATTACTTAGAAATCTATTTCTAATATTTGGAGATTTCTCATTTTTTTTAAATTTCTGACTTAGTTTCATTGTCATCAGGAAAAGTACTCTATTAATTCAGAAAGTCTTTTTTGTATTTTTTGAAACAGGGTTTCATTATGCAATTCAGGATGGCCTGAATTCACTTTGCAGCTTAGGCTGGCCTTGAACTCACGGCAATTACTCCTGCCCTAGCTTTCCTGGGATTGCAGGTGTGTGCCGCCACACTCGGCTAAGTCAGTACCTTCTGAGTACTAGTTCTGTGCCTTGACATATGGTCAGTTTTGGTAAGTGTTCCATGTATACTTGAGAAGAATGAGAAATTTGAAGTTACATGGGACAGTGTACGCTGTATGTCACTTCAGTTAAATTTAATTGTATGACTCAAACTTTCTGCCTGTTTTATCATTTTCTGAGAGATGTACACCATTTGAAAGGGCAGGTGAGGTTCCAACAGCCTGATAAGTGATAGGGAGATTTAGAAAAAAGAATTAATCTGACTCACACTAGAGATAAATAGGAATTTAGGATAGGTATAGAAAATCAGAGAAGAGATTATATTTTGTGTTGCTCTTTATTTATGAGTCTCTCACATAAGAGAAACCATGCAATATTTAAGCTTGTGACATACAATACAGGGAGATACAACTTTTACAAATGGGGAAGGGACCAAGAGCTTGGGGGGAGGACATAAAAATTATTAAGTTGTGTTATGAGCAAGTACCAACTTCACTTGATGAATACAATCATTATGTACTGCAAAACACACTACTAAAAATTAAATATTTTGTTTTTGGAATCGGGAATCAAACTCAGGACCTTGTGCTTGAGCCATATCCCTGGCCAAAAATAAAAATTTTAAAAATAAAATAGAACAACTATTTGGAAAAAAACAAGAGATAATATAGAGAGTGAAAATCTCCAGTTGTCTTGCTTTGAAATCTGTGTCTCTTACATTGTTATGTTACGATCTGTTTTGTTCTGTTTAATTTTACCATCTTTAAAAATAAAAAAAATAGAATTAACTGCAAAAAAGAGAGGTTAATCTATGTGATTGAGGAGACAAAAAGATATCTAAAATAAGGAAATATTCTATTTGAAGATGTTTGAGTTTCTGTAACATAAACGCCTCTGTCTTTCTAAGACTTTATTAAAATATGAGACCCATTTAAAACACAGAGTGTTTTGTTTTGAGGAAGCCAAGGAAAGAATTGAGTTCTGTTTGCTTATCATAAAATACGGGCAGCTCTAGCCATGTGTGTATAGATCTGGCTCCTCAGAACTACGGAAATGGTAAGCACCTGCTGTAAGCCAGGCTCTGGCGAGGCGCCCTAAACCGATTCTCTCCTTGTATTTGCCTTGGATAGTAACATGACTCAGGTATGAGACCACGTGGGAACTAACTACGACAGCGGGAGACCAGAGGAGGAGGTCACTACAAGCATCTGCGTCTTTCCCCTTTTACCTCCCACAATTCACAGAAGTCATGCAAGGGATGTTGTCTTTTAGAGAGTGGACTGGGAATCAACAGGGATTTTGCCTGACTTCTCCAGCGTTGAAGATAAAAAGATCCCAGTTTGTACCTGGGTTACTTAACCTTGGAGGCTTTCTGTCGAGAGACAATGCTCGGGGCTGGGGATTCAGCTCAGTCAGTAAGTGACTGCCTTGCAATCACTCGGTTGTGAGTTTGATCCCCAGTACCAAAAGAGAGAGAGAGAGAGAGAGAGAGAGAGAGAGAGAGATGGTAAAGGGCCTAATTTAGTAGAACGTTTCACTATTACTATTCAAACTGCTTTTACATTTTTCTGTCTCCCGCACTGGGGTTTAGTGCCATGTCTTTTTTAGTTAAAGAACACTTTCCACCACCACATGTTTAGCAGAACACAATGGATATAACAGACAGTGAATAAGTATGTTTGTGGTTGCCAAATGTACTCTCTAACATGAGTACATCTAAGTACTACTATACTATTATTCATTGATAGTTAACAAATGAGTATAATGCATAATAGCTTAAAAAAAACAAATAGTTAATATCTGTTAAGCTTTGGGAGCGGCAAAGCTAGATGACTGGGGTCCCCCATAAATTGCAATCAAGATACCAGCTAGGGGGTTGGGAGTGTAGCCGAGCACATGTGAAGCTTTGATCCCCAGCACCACACACTCAAAAAGTATTCAGCCCGGGCTGTTCCACTATGGCTGGAGGATCAGCTGCTCACCACCTTCCTGAAGGCTCCTCACAACGCTGCTGCTGGCTTCTCCAAGACAGTGAGACTAAGACAGAAGCCCCAGTGGTATATACCTCTTCCATTTTGTTCTTCTCATTACAAGTGAGTCTTTAAGCCTGGCCCACACTCCAAAGAGAAGTAAATGAGGCTCCATCCACCTTTGAAGGAAATGCCACAACATTTGTGAGCTTGTTTCAAAGCCACCAGAGGGAGCCAGCATTTTGCATATAGCTCTGCTCAAAGCATTTTTAAAAAAATAAATGCAAAGAGGCCTCTTAGATGGTGACAAAAACAAATTGCTAAATATACTCTTCTGCTTTTTACCCCTATCTCAAAAGATAAAACAGATTCAAGGGTCCTTGCACTCGTAAGACCTTGATTGTCTCCCTCGCCAGCACTGAATTCACGAGTCCTTGCAGAGCAGCGCTCCTCCCCAATGCCTACCTGCTGGGTTCCAAAGGAGACAATCCTCCCGTGGCTCCCCGAGAGCCTGCTGGCCTGACTGGTGTGCAGCCTCAGGGAGATGTTAGCAAAGGAAGGACAGATGACCCCGTCACGGCTCAGGGAAGGCTGGTGACCAGACACTGCTGCTGCCGAGGTGGTAACCTCATTCTTCTGACAACTACATTGAACTTGGAAACTTTCTTTTCCCACTGTTTTGTCCCAAAAGGCATTCAAGACTCCTTGACTTTTTAAAGTCATCCTGCGGCTAATAAGGAAGTCAACTTCTTGTATTCCAACATGGCAAAAGGTGAGTTTTCTTAAAATTATTTTATCTCAAACAGTATGACTTTTTCATATTGGCTCACATTAATGTTTATTTAAAAAATTAGGAAAAATTTATTTGAATAAATGCTTTTATTAAGCAACATATTTATAAACTGATGGACTTTCCCATTGCAGACACCATGCTTTTAAAATTGAGGTTCTTTATGTGTATTTTTTCATTTTCATTAAACTCTTTCATCTTACACAATATTTTCCTTAGTCTTTCTCTGTCAATGACTTCAGTGACTTCTTCTTTTTAAATAATTCACATAGCCAGGTGTGGTAGCCCATGCCTATAATCAATCCCAGCACTCCCGAGGCTGAGGCAGGAGGATTGTTGTAAGTTCGAGAAAAGCCTGGGCTACACAGTGAGCTCAAGGTCAGTTTGAACTGCATAATGAGATCCTGTCTCAAAAAGACCAAAAAAAAAAAAATCATATAAAGTATTTGGGAGTATTCATATGGAAATGATGATTGTTTTCATAATTGTGTCCTTCTTTGTAGGATCCAAATCTAAAAAAAAATTACATATAAAGATCATTTAGAAAAGTATGCTCTTATGTAAAATGTCAACTATAACTCACTGTGGTTTTGTCTATCATAAAATCAGCACTAATGTGATTAATTTATTAAGTAACAAATGAAGAAATAAGGAAGTTTCTACATATATGGGAAAGGCAAATCAAAATGTTAACCTCCAACGTCCGGTCTACATGGTTATGAATCCTCCCCAAAACACCACAATTTAAGAATTACTAGCTTGGGGCTGAGGATTTAGCTCAGCGGCATAAGCACCTGCCTTGCAAGCAGGCGGTCGTGAGTTCAATCCCCGGTACCGACAAAAAAAAAAAGAATTACCAGCTGAAGTATATTGTGAAATACAAAAGGCATGGAAAGGGAACTGGGGCTTGGAGCAACTGGGGCTATTGTCTTTCTTTCCTTCATTAGCAACTACTAACCCACGAGAGCTCTATTGTGTGAGGTGAGGGATTTCAGTAAGGGATAGTAAAATGCCATTCTACAATTACAACCGACACTGATGAAATGATCAAAGATATAACAAGGAGTCCCTGGAAGAGTTTTTTAATAAAGAGAAAATAAATGTACCTACCTGAAGTTTAGTACATCCCTATAATGTAATATTATTTAATCATTAAAAATATATTAATATTTTATTGTGGAAGGAATTTCATAATATACTTAGATTAAAAATAAGACAAACAGAATAAATTCAAACACATGTCTATACACAGTTAAGCAATATATCTATCTACATACAGACTTGGGATTATTGAGTGATTTTATAGCTATGCACAGGAATCAGGTGGGCAAGATGCACAGTAAGCTTTGCAGTATTTGGTCCTTCACAGAAACACTCATTTGAACAACTATCCATGTACAAAAGTGTCTTCACAGGAGCACTATGAAATTCAAGTGCGCGATTATAGTGGCTGTGGAGGGCACAGAAGTAAGAAAAGGTTACTGAAGAGGAAGGGTAAGAAGCCCGGCTTCTTGTGGCCTGCAGCACCCCTTCTTAAGCTGGGCAGCAGAGCAGGAGAGAGGTGCCCTCCACATTGGAAGGAGGGTGAGGTAAGCACCCAGCTCATGGGCTTCCAGACCAGCACCAGCAGCACACGCATCCCAATGAATGGCAGCACCTGCCGGCCCAGCTCAGTGCCAGCTCAGCCTCCACTGGCTGACCTTAAAAACTGGCCTTTTAATTCTAGAGTAAAACTTGAATGACAAAGTTTCAAGCAAACATATAGCTATAATTATTTGTTAATGGATACGTGATGTACAAAAGATGTGGGCTGTGATATCAGTAACACAGTGTGGGGTGAAGAAACTAAAATATGCAATTTTCCTATGAAGACAAAGTTGTTACCAGCTTAAAGCAGTATATTTTATATAAACTTCATGATAACTACAAACAAAAGAAAACTGTAGTAGATAAGTAAATCACAAAAGAAGAGAGTAAGGGAAGAATGAGTCAAAAGAAATACACAGAAGACAAAATTTAAAATGGCAGCACAAGGTCTTTACCTATCAATAATTACTTTAATTGTAAATGAGTCAAATTCTCCATTCAAAAAACAGAGTAATAGGGGCTGGGGATTTAGCTCAGCGGCATAAACGCCTGCCTTGCAAGCAGGCAGTCGCGAGTTCGATCTCTGGTACCGATAAAAAAACAAAAACAGAGTAATGGGCCAGGAGCAATGATGCATGATTGTAATCCCAGCACTCAGGGAGGCCAAGGCAGGAAGAACACTGTGAATTTGAGGACAGCCTGGGCTACAAAGTGAGTTCAAAGTCAGCCTGCACTGCACAGTGCAACCTTGTCTCAAAAAAAGAGGAAAACAAAAACAGAGAGGTCAAATGAATTAGGGGGAAAAATATTCAAGTATATATTGCCTGTAAGAAACTCATATTAGGTTGAGTGGCATAGGCTGAAAATGAAAGGATACAAAGATATTCCACATAAATGATAACCAAAAGATAGCAGAGGTGACTATATTTATGAGAAAAATATACTTTAAATCAAACACTACCACAAAAGACAAAAAAGGTCATTATGTAGTGATAAAAAAAGTTGATTCATCAATAAAACATAACAATTATATGTGCACCCAACATCAGAGCATATAAAAAGCAAATATTAACAGAACAGAGGAGAAATACAAAGGTATACATTGGAAGCAGGTGACTTAATGCCCTACTTTTTTTTTGGAGGGGGAGAGTACCAGGAATCGAACTCAGGACCTCAGGCTCGCCAGGCAGACACCGTGCCACTGAATTAAGTCCACAGCCCCTAGTATTGTACTTTCAACAATGGATCCAGATGGAAAAATCAGTAAGGAAAAAGGACTTGAACAACACAACAGACTAAATGGATTGGACAGATGCATACAGAATACGTCATCCAGCTGCATTCATGGAGCCTTCTTCAGGACAGATACAGTGTTAGGACATAAAACAAGCCTTAAAATTTTTAAGAAGACTTAAGTCATAGCTAGGATCTTTTACAACCACTGTAGCATGAAACTAGAAATTAGCAACAGCAAAAAATTTAAAAATCCATAAATATGCAAAACTTAATACAATGTTGAATGACCAATCAGTCAAAGAAAACATTGAAAGGTAAATTAAACATTATCTTGATACAAATGAGAATGAAATATAATGCATCAAAACTTGTGGGATACAGCAAAAGACAGTCCTAAGAAGGATATTTACATCAGTAAATGCCTGCATTAAGGAAAACAGAAAGAGCTCAAACAGCCTAACTTTATACCTCAAGATCCTAAAAATAGCATAGCAAGCTGAGGTCAAAGTCAGAGGAAGGAAGGAAATTAAAGAAAGAAAGAATGAATGAATGAATGAAAAAGGAAGGAGAGAAAGAGAGCAAGGGGAGAGGGAGGGTGGAGGGAGAAAGATCAGAGCAGAATAATGAGAATATAGAAAAATAATGGAGAAGACTGATTAAGAATTGGCTTTTGGAAAAGATAAAATCAAATACTGTGTTGGGTTGGGCCTTTAGCTAGACTTAGTGAGAAAAAAAGGGAAAGTTCAAAAAAAATTATGTGTGACAGAGATATCAGGTATTTCTACTGATATCACAAAATGCAAAAGATCATTTTAAAAAAGACTGCTACAAGTCGGGTGTGGTGGCGCATACCTGTAACCCCAGCACTCTGGGAGGCTGAGGTATGAGGATCTCAAGTTTGAGCCCAGCCTGGAAAACTTACTAATTTAACAAAACTCTATTTTAGTGTAATTGTTGAAAGTAGAAAAGCATTGGAGGTGTAGCTTAGTGTGAAGACGCTCAGATCAACTCCAGTATCTCACACACACACACACACACACACACTGGAATACTACTTAGCCTTTAAAAATGAAATCCTGTCATTTAGAACAACATAGATGAGCCTAGAAGACATTATCCAGGCACAGATGACAAATACTATATGATCTCATTTATATGTGGGCTCCAGAAGAGTCGAATTTATGGAGGCAAGAGTAGAAAGATTGTCAGGCACTAAGTGGGAGATCAAGAATATGAAATATCAGTAATACCAGATGATTAAACTCTGAAGCTCTATTGTAAAGCACTGCAGCTACCATTAATAATAACATGGTATATTTGGAACTGCTAAGAGATCTGAAATGTTCTCGCCACTATTTTTAAGACAGGTCGTCTACTTACGCCTTCATCATTTTCAGAATTAAACTGAGAGGGAAGCAGACCTATCCCTGGTCACATTTGCTTTGACTCAATCTGCAGTTGTGGTTAGCCAAAAATATTGCATTTAGATTTCTCCATATTCTTGGCATATGAAAAATAAGGAATTAAAAAAAATCTTGTTCTCAGAATTTCTAGTTTCCATTTAAGAACTCATCTCAATTAGCAAAAGGAGGGAAACATTCTGTTTCACTTCTGTGCTACTATTACAAACACTGCTGCTGCTGTAGCATCTACCGGTGAGATGAGGACTCACTGCATGCTGTTCCTAGGACCAGAGTCTCGTGTGACGTTCAAACCTCAAACTGTGTTAACAGATTGGCACTACAACCCTCCCACCCCGCTGCCTTTTAGGAGAAGAACTGCAGATTTGCAGAAGTTAAGCATCTAGACCACAGCTCCTCTGCCCAGAGTGGGGACTGGAACAGGCAGTGGACCACACAGTCCAGCCTCTGCACAGCTGCAGTCCATTCCCACAGAATGACACAAGTGCAGAAATGGGAGCTAACAGCTCCTCTCACACTCAACAATAGCTTTTCCTTATAGTAAGCAGAGACAAGAAAGAAAAAGCATTTTCTCCCCAAGTAAAATGAACTCTGAGAAACTTATAGAGCTATGAGCTGGTAAAAATAGTCTAACTGCTATTTTGCTAGTCTAACTGGTTGGTTTTCTCACTGCTGAGACAAAATACCCAACATTCACAAGTTAAGGGAGGAAAAGTTTGTTTAGCTCGCAGTTTGTAGAGCTTTTAGGCCGTAGTCAGCTGGCTCCAAGGGAGGGTGGTACATGGCAGAGGGGCAGTAGTTCATGGAAACAAAAACAGCCAAAGCAACAAGCAAGAGATAGAGACAAGCCTCTTTCTGTCCTTCATATCGTATCACTCTACCAGGATTAGGGCAGCGCCAAACCGATCAGATTTAGTAATCTCACACCCTTAATCCAAACACCCTTAATCTTAGCACTATACCATGAATCAATTACATACTCTATATTCAGCCATCTCTGAAAAAATCCTATGATGCATGGGACTTTGAGGGGACATCTAGACACAAATCATAGCAAGTGTCATAATAATGTCTAGGACATGGCCTGTGTTTGGCTTACTTATTTTTTTCAAATATACTTTATTTCAAAGAGAAAAAAGAAAAAGAAGAAGAAATTTTTAAAAATTTCAAAACATGCCAATTGGGGGCAACAATGGTATATACATTGCACACTGCCATATCCCTGAGCTCAAGACATGTGCATTCAATTGTCCAAACAGTACCAGCCTATGTTTGGTTTAACAGGGAATTTTCCTCTCATTATCTAGCCACGTGAAAAAAGAGCATCTACACAAAATTATTCATTTTTCTGCAAACAGATTTTTTTCAAGTTACCTCTACTAAAAACCAAGCAAGCAGAGCACAGTGGTTCATTTCTATAAGTCCCAGCACCTTGGTAGGCTGAGCCCCAAGGATCACAGGTTTGAGGACCACCTGATCAGTTTAGTGAGACCCTGTGTCAAAAATTAAAAAGGGCTGGGGATGTAGCTCAGTGCTTGCTGAGTTCAGTCCTCAGCACAATTTTTATAAAAGGCAAAACAAAAACCAGTATGTTTTATGTGGCAGAACATTCGTGATGTAAATAAATTGTTCATAATCTGTAGTCTCAATTCTAACTGTACACTGGAAAGAACGTTTTAACTTCCAAAGTCCAGATATAGTCTCATAAGGACCTAATGAAGTGATTTGGGGTCACCCAGGCAATAGTATTTTTTAAAATTTTCCAGGCAAATTTAATGTGCAGCATACACTGAGAATATAAAAACCCTATGATGCTAACAGACACTTACCAGCTTAATAGTTCATTACTGCTTAATAACTCATCACTGACTAGCCACATATTCCTAGTGAAGTTACTTCCTGTTTCTCAGCCTTAGTTTCCTAATCTATTAGATGGGAATAGCCAGGTGTGACGGCACATGCCTATGATCCCAGCATTCTGGGAGACTGAGGCCAGAGGAGTACAAATTCAAGGTCCGCCTGGGCAATTCGGCAATTTAGGAATTGAGCAGGACTCTATATCTCAAAATAAAAGATTAAAAAGGACTGGGAAGGATGTTTAATGAGAAGGTCTCAGTTTAGTCTCTAGTATCACAAAAACAAAAAGCAAAACAAGCAAAGTAAAATAAAATAAAACAGGCATAACATGAATATAGCCCCATGAAGGTAAACAGAGGTAACACACAAAGAACAGGTCTGGGATACAGAAGTGTTCAAATGTTCACTATCGTGGTGGTGTTATGGTGAGCACAATGACAACGGTAACGGTTGTGGTGGTGGGATCTGCTTACCTGGAGTTGGAAGACAGCATGGAGACCATAACTTCAGCCCCAGGAGGATTTTACAATTATCACCACATGTTCTCTTATTTAGAACAAACCTCTGGAACCAAATAATATTTTGCTCACTTTGAGGTAATATTTAGGTTCCATAGGGTGTGGTAGCTCAAACCTGTAGCCTGCATAAAGGCACTTACGTGGGATTGAAATGAATTTTCCTGGGAACTTCTCTGTGATCTATGACCACTTTCTGATTGTCTCTGTAATTAATGGGGTCATCAGGGATCCTAAATTTGGCCATCTGAATTTCAGAGTCACTCAGCCCAGCATGGGAAATTCTTGCATAACCCAACCTGCAACAGAAAAAGGTCTTATTTGTTAAGATGAACTATCACATTAAAATCTGAAGTGTAGAACACCTGCTCAGTGCCTGCATAGCCTTGAGTTCAATGCCAGCATATTCCACCTTCAAAACTCCAATGAGATCTATCAGAAAACAACTTCATTATTCAGAACATAACACACTGTTTGTCATAAAGGTCCATGAACATGAGTGTCTCAAACCTATGCTTATTCTTTAGAATATTTCTATGGCTGAATTATTTATTTTAATTTTATGAGTTTTATTATACTAACAGAAAAAATGACAAAAATAAAGTACTGCATTTTTATTATTTATTGAGTGTTTATAAAAAAGTATTAGGATTTTCAAGATTGATTGGTTTTTGGTGTACAAAGTCTAAAAAATAACAACAGAAAAAAATTCTACATGAAAATACAATAGCGCTCTACCAACAAAAACTTTACCTCAAGTATCAGACCTTATATAGTCTCCACACATGACATCAAGAGGTTCTTAGCACATTATGCAATGTGTAGTTAACAAGAACATAAAATATCAATAAAACAAAATATTAAATTCTTAATATGGGGACTTCTGGGAGAACATGGAGGATAGATAACAGCAGCTATGGAGGCTCTCTGAGATAGCTAGCTTAGATTCCAGGAATGGTGAAGTGTGGGGAGTCCCAAGCAGGGGGAGATATACCCTGCCAACCCAGGAACAAACTAAGCTGAGAGAAAACAATCAGAAATGCAATCCCGCTGCTACGATTGGAACAGCTAAAGTCTCGGTGCCAAAGCTGGAACTCACACCTTTGGAAACCACAGCTTGAATTTCCTGCTGCCGCTGCTGCATCTGAATTAGCACATCAGGGACAGAGATGTGAAAGCTCTGTGAGTGGGAATCATCAAACCGAATAGAGAGCAGAGCTGGCAGGGAGCCCTGCATCGACCTGTGGTGAGTGAGAGGAATGGGGACCCTTCCATAAACTAGGAGGCTCTTCCAACAGAGGACATTTTGGGACCGGGGCAGACTAGCAAGAACAGGACGCTGCAGTGACTTCAGTCACATATTCCCCTTTCAGGCAGGATTGGTGGGGAGCGCTTGACCTGGGTGACACCACAGACTAAGACCGAGTAGGCTAGCCCAAACCAGGACCCTGCGCCTGGCAGTGCACCCTAATGCAATGAAGCCTTCAGCAGGTTGACTGACCTGGAGGGACGGGCCCAGCATAGGCTGCCCAGGTCTGTGTCTCCCTAGTACACTGCAGTGGGCAGGAACACCTAGCCAGCGTGATTCAAACAAACTGTAACTGACAAAGAAAGAAACTGGGCCTCCTATATACGCTTATATGGAAGGAACAAAAAGTAAGGGAAGAGGGAGCAGCAAGAAAGGGTCCTCAGTCCCCAATCCTGAGAATACTGATCCAGGAAAGGTAAATGAAAAGGAGAATGAGGACAGAAAACATGCAATATCAGGCACAGCACCAATAGACATAAAGCGATATCTCCAGGACCTCATAGACAAGTTCAAAAGTGAAGTATTTAACCAAGTAAAACAAGATATAAGTAGAATAGTTAAAGAAATGCTAAGCACCTCCCCAGAAAAGACAGATGGTGGAATGGAAGAACAGAAAAAAGGGGAGAATTGTTTGATGGAGAAAATAGAGAAAACATAAGGTTCAAAGAGATTACAGGAAACTAAAAACTCTATTGAAAGCTGGCATAACAGCTTGAAAGAAACTAAGGATAGATTATCTGAACTGGAGGACAGATGTGTAATGTGAGACCATGAAAGGAAAAACTTCTTAAAAATAACAAGGAAACAAGCAGTAACAATACAAAGGCTAGAAAATGATAAAAGGATCTATAACTTAAGAAATAAGAATGTAAAGGAAGAAGTAGGGATACAAACAAATGAACTGCAAAGGCTATTCACAGAAATAATCAAGGAGAACTTCCCTAATATGGGAAAAGGTAAAGATACTCAGATCTATGAGGCATATAGGACCCAGCCACCTATAACCAAAACAGAACTACACCCTGGCATATAATAATCAAAATTCCAGAAATCCAATATAAGAACAGAATATTAAAAGCTGTCAGAGACAAGAAACATCACTTACAAGGGAACACCCATCAGAATTACAGCAGACTTCTTGGCACAAACCATAAAATCATAAAGAGCATGGGGGGAAATAATTCAAGCTTTGAAAGACAATAACCTCCAGCCAAGATTAATATATCCTACACAACTGTCCCTAGAAATTAATGGAGAAACAAGGTGCTTCCAGGATAAAGAGGAACTACGGGAATTTGCAATCACCAATTCAACAATTCAACTCTACAGAGAATATTGCAGGATATTCTAAAAACAGAAAAATACCAAGATTCCAGAAACAGTGGCAAAGAGGCCACAATGAATGGAGCAGAAACCGAAATGAAGAAGACAAACTGACAACTAATGACAGAAAAAGATCTCAACAGAAATGAGGCAGAGAAAGTTGGATGGTAGGAACAGCTATTTTGGAGAAAACAAGACATCATAATAGCTAATGCTGATTTAATATCATCTTGCTTTGAAGTCTCATCAAGCTTTTTGTTCTTCTGTCTCCATCAGTCTTAGCATGTTGTATCTTATTGGATTTTATTACATGTGATAATATAAACAAAAACTTTTTATAGACAAGGAGATAATACAGAAGCCATTGTTCATTTTCTGTTAGTTGGTTCTAAATACCCTGTAATACTGTCATTCTCTTAAATGGTTTTACATTGTCATGATATGTTTGATGCTAGAGTATACGAAGTTATACTCAAAGATTTCAAGGAAAGAGACACTATGGTAACTGCTTTTATGTCAGGATATCTTGTGGTGAAACACTATTTTGCTTAAATGGTTATGTTCTGACCTGCGCTGTTTTGTTGTTATGCCCTCTTTTATCTCAATCTCCTTTTTTTATTATTTATTTTTTTATTTTTATCTTTTTAATTAAGGTAAAAAATAAGTAAGGAATAGCAGGATATATTATAGTAACACACTTTGATTTCCTATTAACTTGATTTGAACCCCTGTATTGCTCTCACCATCTTGTTTTGTGTGGTTTTACTCTATTCTGTTTTGCCTGATAGTACCAAGTTTGAGAGTTATAGGTAACAACTGTGAAGACAATAAGATTCACTATGATGCCCATTCTGGTTTGACTATTATCTTCTTTTGAAGTCCTGTAATGTCTTTAATGTTTTGATTTTATTGGTTTTGTTCTTTACTGTTTTGTTCAATTTTATTATAACTGATGATATAGGCAATTCTTTTTAAGATAGCAAGAGGCATTATGGTAACCATTGTTGATCACCTTGTATTCTGTTTTTACATCATGTACTATGTCCATCCTTTTGATTTGTCTGACTCTGTTTTGTTATGTCACATTTGGTTTTATTCTCTTCAAAAAAAAAGTAATAAGAACTGTGGGAGTAATAAAACCCAAAACGTGTAATTGTCATTGTAAAAAAGAGAGGAAAAGAAAGTGCTCTAAAGGATATAACTGCATGTATATTTAAGCATGTAAGATGGATAACCATATTGCTGAGTTTTTATTGGATCATTGAACAGAACTATTTGCAGTCTCACTGTTTGAATGTCCACTTTATATGCTTTAATTTTGTAACTTGAACAACTATTTCTTTTTTTTAATTTTTATTTTTTTTTTAATCGGTACCGGGGATCAAACTCACGACCACCTGCTTGCAAGGCAGGTGCTTATGCTGCTGAGCTAAATCCCCGGCCCCTGAACAACTATCTCTAAGATGATAATATGTAATCTATTAACTAGGGATATCCTACTGTTTATTTTTTTAAAATTCTGTATAACTTGTACCCTTTTTCTGTTTTTTTCTTTTTCTCCTTAAATAAAATTTATAATCTTTGTTAACTGTCACACTAAGGGAGTCTTCACACATGGCAATTGCCTGTTCCATGCACGTCTTGCTTACACTGTCAGCATATGTGCTTAGCTTTCCTTTCCTATGTGGCAGGCCATTCTTGTCACCTCTCTTCTCTTCCTGTTTTGTCAGGAGCTTCCTACTATGTTGCACAGTGTGTACTTAGCAGGGAAATAAAATATCACTAAAGTAATACACCAAATGGATAGAGAGTACTTAGGATAGACATCAGTATTTTCACATCAGCTGTGTACAAAACTTAAGAGATAATGTCAAAAATAAAAACCTATGTGACCTACATGAAAATACCAATAGAATTCTATACAAAAATAACATTTGCCTCAATTGTCACACCCAAGACAATCTTCACACATGAAAACTGCATGTTTCATATACAAACATTGCTTACACTGACAGCATATATGTTTTGTTTTCCTGTCCTTTTCTGTGCAGCACAACTGACATCTTTTTGGCTTTTCTGTTGTGAATTAGGTCTTCGGAATGTGGCACCTGTCTGTTCAACTGAGCAGCAGTTCCCTGAGCAGAAACATTTTGGTTTTTCTCTACTGTAAATGATTTCTTAAGAGTTCCAGTCCCAATCCTCTAAGAAAAGTTTTCCAAGCTATTTTACTTTGTAAACTATCAAATAATTGATGCCACATGTTTAGCATCAAGTAAAACACAGCCATTCTTTTCTTTTTTTTTTTTTTTTTTGTACCGGGGATCAAACTCATAACCTTGTGCTTCCCAGGCAGGCACTTACACCACTAAGCTACGTTCCCAGCAAGTAAATTTTCCTGAAATTCAGAGATTGCACAGTACAGTTATCTGTTTTGAAATTGCAACATTTCACTTGGAATTTCTGCTTTGTTTCTGTGTACAGTTCCTGTGCTGGTCAACTTGTTCTCTGGTAGCAAATAGGACATCAATTAGAAACTGATAAATCAATTGTCAAATGTCACATTCTGATTAGTTTGGAAGCTGGAAGCAACAAATCTGTTCACAACATCATCTAGTTTATTACTATACAAAGACGGATCTAATGGCTAAGTTCCAGAATAAGTTTCTA